GAATTTGGAAGAAGAAAAGGAAGGTACATTCTTAGATTGTTCCCTTCCTCAAAGAGACAGGAGACTTACCAGCCTGACTCCTCTGCCACTTCCGGGAGGACTTGCCATGGCCACAGCTGGAAGTCCAGGCTTGGATCCAGGGTCCCAGAGGATATGGAGACACGGTCCCGACTCGGCCATAAAGAGCTTGCATACGGGGACCGTTCTGATGCGTCCAAGGAATAACGGATTCTCTGAGCTGCGGAGGCCTCCCTCAACAAATTTAGAAGCGGCTCTAGTTGAAACGACCACCGGCGACCGAGGTGACCACAGAGTTCTCCCACTGCAGGGACGAGGGGCTCAGGGCTGCTCCGCTGCTCGGACGTGGGCTGGGAAACGCACAGCCACCCGGAGGGAGAGCCATTGCTTTCCTCTGAGTCTTCGATTGACCCAAAACTTACGTCGGGGCATCCAAACCTCTATCTGGTTAATTCGGAAAGGAGTAAATGCCACGGCATCTCTGGTCTCCATCTGTTAGATGCCACTGCGTCCTCCTCAGGCTGTAATAACCAGAAATGTCCCCAGACATGGCCAGAGGTACCCCCGCAGGCATGGGCGGGACGAAATGGCCCCTCGCTCCTTTGGAGTGAGGACTTCTGTTCTCCCTGGTCCCTGCCTGGCGGTCCCTGGGGTCAGTGTGGCCTCGCTCACCGCAGACCCCTGCAGCCAGCTCTGCGGCGACTTCACTTTCCACCCGACACGTGCAGGGCCGACAGGACGCCTCCCTCATGAACAGAGGGTTGCACAGAGTGGCCCGGCCCTGTGCCAGCATGGCGCAGACGTCTTGCCATACCCTTTACTCCTTCTGCCCGTGTTTGGGGAGCGGCCAGAGGGCTGGGCTCACTCCTAACCACAAGAATGAGCGGTCAAAGGAGAAGGCAGCACCCAGTCATCCTCGCTGGCCCCGCGGCCCGCGTCCACACCACCTGGGGAAGACTGCTCTCCCAGGAGCGAGCGGGGTGGTGTCTCCAGCCGGTCACGGGTGGCTCTACTGTGGAGGTAGTTCATTTGGAAATCTGTGATTAAAATATGTGGTTTATAGCTATCTGTAGAAGTGCGTTTTTTCTTATTTTTTAAAATCATTCCCCTTTAAAAAAATTTTTTTTTTGAGAATGGGTTGGGCAATTTATAACAGAATGCTAGGACTAAATAGTATTTACAGGAAGCTTGAGATTTACAGAATTTTTTGAAGGGAAGCTATAGGTGGGAATTGTGGAAGGCAAATAGAACTTTAAAAGATTAGTATGTTGAAAAAATTTTAATGAATAAATTTAAGAATAGCATTAATATGTTTTGGAAGGATTTTGGAGGATATCCGTACCTGTGTAAAAGGAGGCGAACAATTAGAGGCATAATTATTCCATGTAGAGTAGATAGGTGAGATTTTAGAAGTTTTTGGGGAAAAAAATCAGCTCTTTTATAGTGTCTTTTAGGGGCTCTAATAATCTAGGTTTTTTTTTCCCCTGTGTTTGGCTTATTATTTTTAATTTATTAATTTTTTTAACATTAATATGCTATACATCATTACAGTATACAGTATACAGTATATTTTTCATCCAAAATACACTGTTTGTTGGCTCAATCAAGCACATCAACATACATGTTATCAACAAACAATTTTTCATTTCTTATGTCTTGTGTATTTTGCGTTTTTTCTTTCTTTTTTTTCTTTTCTTTTCTTTTCTTTTTTTTTTTTTTTTGCCTTCTTTTATTCCCTTTCCCTCACCCCCTCC